TTTTTTGGCTATGACTGTCACTGTATGACTTATTTTTCGCTAGGAAGCTTAATTTAATCTAACTTATGTAATTTAGGACTTTCTAAGGTTCAGTAATATGCGTACCTTGAGGACATAAATGTTCCCTCCAGAAATGTATCAGATAATATTTTCTTTCACAGATCTTCCAGTAAACTGCTGTTCTTATCAAAAACATTACATTTTTTATTTTTTCCTTAGTTTTTGATATTTTTATGGACAATTTGATAAAGCCAGATTTGAGAAAGAAATTAAAAAAATCTGACAGCCTTGGCCAGTCAGCATTACATTTTTATTCTTTGCTTTTTCCAGTTCATTCTGATGTTTGCAGGTATGTAAAGACAACTATGTCAAAGGGATACTTCACCCAAAATGACAGTTTGAACCTTGAGTAATTTATATAAAAAATATGATTTTTGGGTGAAGTATCACCTTAATATAGTTGTCTTTACAATTGTGAAAGTTATGTTTGCACATATGAAGTTACCATAACATATGTGTCCTGCAGGAGCTTTAAAGAAAAACACATCAACCAGCCAGATCACCAGGAAGGATGTGGAGAGGGCAGTTTCAAAATGGCTGATTGGATGAAGGGACAGAGGAGACAATGGACAGGTCCCTCCTTCTCTCTCTGTCTCCCACTAGTTCCACTCTCAGCTCAGCTGATGAAAATTTGCTAATGTTTTTTTGTTCAATGTGTTTTTTTTATGTTGCTGATATAATCTGTAAAAAAATTATTATTGCATTTGACCTAATAAAAACAGTAATAATGGCATAGTGTTTTTATTTATGTACTGCATTTCTTACCAAGAGAAAGCTCAGTGTTTTTTACATAAAGACAAAGTAATGCAAACAAAATAAGAACCCACCTAAATTAAATAATTAGCCTGTAAAGGTTAGGCTTATGGGTACAGTGTTGGATCTATAGGGGCCCATCATCAGCCCACATGTGGGCCCCTATAGATCCAATGTGGGAGAAACCTGGGTTGCCCATGTAGGCTTTAGATGGGGCCCATGTGAAACCCACCCTCAGCCCATCTGGGCTGCCCACATGTGGCACCCACTGAAAATAACTGGGACCTAGCTGGGCAGCCCAGATGGGGCCCACATCCAACCCGCATGGGCCCCACATGGGTGTGTTGACAGGGTGATTATCTCAGGATTCATTGCAAGTCCAAAAAAAGGGAAATGGCGCCGAACAGTGGTGAAAATTGGAAGTTCAGTTTAATATAAT